ATATCACGGAGCAAATAAAATAAACGTTTAGTTCATTTTTGTACCAATAGATGGCGCACTGTTATTCAAAATGTTCACGTGATCACGGTCAGGATATGCCTTTTTATTTTTAGATATATATATATATTTTTCCGTTGATTTTTAATATTTACATTGGTGAGAAAGGGAGATATTTTACAAAATACGGTTCATTATATGAAAAAATAATATAAATAAAATAGAAGAGGGTCAGGTGTTGATATTAAAAATAAAAAGGCATTTCCTGACCACGAGCACATGTGCTTTTTAGATGGCAGAACGCCGTTTAGTTTATTTTTGCTCCACTAGATGGCGCTCTGTCATCTAAAAAGCACATGTGCTCGTGGTCAGGAAATGCCTTTTTTATTTTTAGGTTCATTATATTAAAAATATTTCAAATATAGAATTTTAAGCAAATTTCTAATCATTTTTATACATTTTTGGGGCAATTTTCCTCTTAATATTAATACTAGCATACATATTATATTTTTAAAACATAGAAATTAATTTTAGGATTAACAATATAATGATATAAAAGAGAAAGAGCGTGATATATAAAAAAGGAACGTTTGATAAATTCTCCAAGTCCCCATTTTATTCTGGAAAAGTTCAATTTTTACCAAAGAATTCTAAGCCAACAGTGGCCCACTTAATTACCCTGAATGGCCAAACCTTTGAATCCCATTTTAATCAAAAAGCAAAATCGCCAGGGAAAACCCTTACTTGGAATATTGGCAAAAATGAAGTCATTAGTTATATGAAATTTTAGGCCGACTCGAATCACCTTTATCGTTTGGTATTACAAAAAAAAGACACTTTTATAGCATTACTTTCATTACCCTTCAAGGTAAAAATGTAAAAAGAAAGATAACTTTTTAGATTGCTTGATTTTTAGAAGTATTTTGCAAATTTGGCATATAAGTTATTTTCAAAAGAATTTTTTGAATAAGTTGATACAATATTTTAAAGAAATATTATAAAAATATATATGTTTGTCCTAAAATATATTTTTAAATATTTTATATTCTATTTAAATATTGCGTAAAGTAGAATTTATTGGGTATGTTATTTGCAAAATATTTGGATTTTATAAAATGTTGTTTATGTCAAATTCCTGAAATAATTTTACATAATATGAAAATATATTCGATTTATATTGTCGCGGAGATAAATAAAGAAAGGGAAGATTTGGGAATAATTAATTTATTAGAAAAAGGGTATTTACCTTTTAGTTTTTAATAAAATTATATACAATAGGTATTTATAGGGAGAGAGATAACAACTTATCCCAAGGTAAAGATAATAATAATGAGCGTCGTCAGCCACTGAGGCGTCCCGTTTTCTTTATTTGCCGATAAGATCCCAAGAACCCCTCACACCTGTGGTCTTTCCCCCGGAGTCCAGGGATGATTGACAAGTGTCCTATGGAGCTTCTTGTGACCGGAGTTGCAGAGCTATTGACAATATCTATATCTTGATATTATATATAATAATACAATTTTTACGTTTATATCACCGTATAGAGATCACGTTAAAAATATAGGATTCTGAGTAATATTGTTATTTTGTATTTTAATTTATAATACATTATAATACGTCCAGGGTAGCCTAGTGGACATGGCACCTGCCCGGTAAGCAGAAGGTTGTGGGTTCGATTCCCGCCCCTGGACACTTTTATTTTTCTGTTCGCCATTACTCTTCATATTTTCACCCTCTCATACTTCATTCAAAAAAAAGTTAGAAATAGTAAATATTTCTCTTTGAAATAAATATTGATTTTTCACAAAAAAAAAAAAAAAAAAACTTAATCGGTGTAACTTTAAGTATTGTTTATTTTAATTTATAAAATTGATCAATAAATATTATAAAAACATAAGGCATTAGCCCGCTATATATACCTTCATGGACAAAACTTAAGGAAGTTATACCTTTTATATATATCGGTATTAAGACAATAACTCTGAAAGATTTCATGGTTTATCTGATATAACAAAATATTATTCCCATATCATTGTAATACATTGTTTTTTTCAATATAAAAAAAGTACTTTGTTTTTTGATAATTTTTTAACGCACCATTTTCTTGATTAAAGTGTTGGTTTCCATGTAATTAAAGTAAGTAAGAAGGATGAATCCGTAACCAATTTAACTTTACATATTATTTATTATTAATAGCAATTATACAAAACAAATCTTGGTATATGTTTATACGGGGAAAAAACAAAAACAATAAATATTATATATATACAAGTTCCTTTTCAAACACGAACTCATATATAGCCATTGTTACTCTGTGTAATATTTCAACAAAATCCATGTCTCAATGCCTGTTATGATTATTGTATACAAATATTTCAAGCATGCTCTCTCATCTTTCGTTGTTTGAGCTACCTAAGTCCAAACCTTCCGATATTATGTATTAATTACAGATTGTATCGAGTATATATTCTGTAATATAATAAAATATTTGATAGATCTTTTTTCAACGAAAATTTAAGTAATAAAATCTTTCAATTAAATAATCTCTTATATCAATATTGAGTAAATTTAATCATTCCTCCAGGGAAAAGTGTCTTTTCAAAACATTTTTATTCTCTAGCTTTCAGGTACGGACTTCCTTCTATTGGCGAATTATTAATTATTATTGCGATCATTAAAGGAATGAATGTTCTGATTCGCCATAGCAATGTATTCACTATAGCCATGTTTCATTATAGTACTAATATTGGAGGAGGGGGAACAGTAACAAGCTCACTAATAAACCTGGGCTCAGCTGGCCCGGCTGATAGCACCCTGTAAGGACTCCTAATCCAGGAATACAGGATGAGCAGCGTTTGTACTCCATGTTAGGAGCGGCTGCAGATGGCTTCTGTTCCTCATGTCAGAGGCGGCCATTTCTTTTGGAGCTAAGTCAGCCTGCCACTGAGTAGTACTCCCAGTCTTAATGACAAAGGTAGACGCATTCTACTTTATCCAATCATATTGACTGTATTGACTCATCCATTGATGTGCTCTACTCATCCCCAACAGACACCATCAAGAGTCTCAAGCTTTACAGGCTTGACACCCCAATATGATTGAGTGGAGATAAGAAAGAAGAAGACTTTTCGTTCTTACATAAATTGTATAACATCATGTTCGTTATAAACAGGTTCATTTTAACAGGGTTTGACTGGTTATTATAAAATACAGTAAAACCCCGCTAAAATGAATCTGACATATAGTGAACCTTCCCTTAAACTGAAACTGAAATAATCACCTATTTCATCTAATAGAATGAACTGTGGTAATAAAGACCCAAAGGTTTGTCGAATTATAAGTTTTCTACTGTAGAAGGGTGTCCGTGCCCGAAAGCTAGAGAATAATAAAGTTTTGAAAATATACACTTTTCCCTGTAGGCCTGATTAATTTTACTTAATAAAACTTTTAATTTCGTCAATATTTTTTTCAACAATCCATGATAATTCGAACCTATTATAGACGCGTATGATTCTTTTTAAAATTAAACAATTTTATAATGCCCTTACTGATATGAAAAAATAATGGGAGGGCCTTACTCATCAGTGGTGAACCCCCCCAGCGGTTTTGCCAGTTTAATCTACCATACCGCTGTTATAATGCATTTTAAGTTTTAATTTTTAAAATATTTTTATATTTTAAAAGAATCATACGCGTGTATAATAGCTTCGAATTCTCATAACAGATAGCGCTAATCTATCATATTATAATATAATTGATGTTGCTTTTTTGGTTTGATGAAAATAAATATAATTTCTCCAGTTCAGATAGACACCAAAACATAAGAGCAATCTATTGACTGTCTTCCTAAACTAGTAAACTCAGATAGGAGAAAAAGTGAAAACAGAAACTTTGGAAATTGAGAAAGGTCAACCTAGAGACCATGGTTACGGGCTTATGGACCTCTTCTTTCTAGATCTGATCTTTTTTTATGAGATCAACGAGGAATCAAATGAAATCTCTTCAGCATATAGAAATATACAAGATAAAAACAATTGTTCTTCAAATTAAAGATACTTCAGCCACACACACACAGTAAATCTCTTTATTATTACAAGAGAAGGAATCACCAGACAACATCTTGAAGAAGGAACAAAAGTTATCGGCGACGTGTGTCTTTTATTAATGCTGTAAATTCGGCAAGCTTTCGGACTTTGATGTCCTTTAACAGGCAGCTTTCCAAGAAACTAGAAGATAATATATCTATATATAGAAGCATAGGGCGCCTCTTCCGTCAAAATAGACGTCTAAAACGAGACGCCATCTATTGAGCGTCGCCGCAACTAGCGGCAAACAAACCTGCTTTGGCAAACAGAAAAGCGTCCACCTAGAGACCATGGTTTCGGGCTAATGGCCCTCGTCAGCCTAGGGCGGACTTTATTCCATGAGATCCACACGAGTTTAATGGAATATTCACAATCTACCAAATGTGTGGCTCTGTCACCGACCCGAGGCCGCTAGTTTGCAACGACGGTAAATAGATGGCGTCAGGTTTTAACGTTTATTTTGACAAGAGAGACGCCCTATGCTTCTATGGATCAATTTCCTCCCGGTAAATTTTCCATCTATTTATATATAAATATATATACGTAAATTTTTACATAATTAGAACTTAATGAAATAAATTCGACATTCGACAAAAGGCTTTTGTCCGAGATTAACGTCGAGATAATAAAAAAAGATATACAGGCCGAAGTATCTTTAAATTGTAGAACTATGAATGCCGGCCAGGCAGCTTCTATCTTTACGAAAACCAATTGTATCATATCGTTAAATAATCAAACTCTGACATTTTTTCTTAACAATATAATATATCCTTTCTCATCTACAACATGTAATTTATTTTCCAATATACACAAATAATATAATAGACAATTCCTTTTAACATATTCAATATATGAATATATTCAAAAATATCTATAATGAACAATTTTCATTGTAGAAAAACATTTGAACGACAATTGGCTACCCTAGTGGATATGGCATCTGCCCGGTAAGCGGAACACTGTGGGTTCGAATCCCATCCCTGGACACTTTATTTATTTTTCCGTTTATCATTACTCTTCACAATTCATCCCTTCTTACTTAAGGTTAGAAATACTCGTTATTTCTCCCTTGAATACATTTTGATTTTTCGTTCAAAAGAAACACATGCAGGATAATTTTCAAATGTTGTTCTACAAACATACGCCGCATTATATTGTATTATGCATTACCATTCATTGTAAATATATTCAGAAGAAAATATTTTTCAAAACTACTTTGTTTGTCGTTAAGATGTAAAGGAAAATTGTTAGAATAATTTTTAACGCCTTGCCAAATGTTTTAATTTTTATTGGCTCCTGTCGAGAGCAAAAGATTTTTGCCGAAACATCGCGACAATAAAAAAGCTTTTACTGGCCGTGTATCTTTAATTTGAAGAACTACTTTGTTTGTATAATGATAAATTTCGTTTATTATGAAAAACATATATATTGTTGTACCAAATTGCAGCTTTGCAGGGTCGTCGACTTTGGTTTCCTCCTTCTTGGTGTTATACACGTTTCCCGAGCGGGTTTCCATATTCAAAGCAAATAAATAAAAGTAAATAAAATTAAATTACCTTTTAAAGTTATTGTGTTTATTTATTAGTTGTCTTCCTGGTAAGTCGTGATCCGTAGTCTTGGTCTAGGTCCTCTCTCGCTCCAATAACCAATCAAGATATATGTACAATAAAATATTACAAAAGGAATGACACTATATAAAGGAATGATGATAATCTAAATATTCTGTTTTAAATAAATATTAAATATCATAGAATATTTTGAATAAATGTAGGGCGCATTAAATTTGATGCAACAATATCATATATGAAAAAGAATTTTTTTCTAATACAGTTAAACCTGTCTATAGCGCCCCCTCTTGGGAACTCACCAAAATAGGGTGTATAGAGAGGGGGTGCTATAGACAGGTCACTTTTAATGTAAATCGCATCGTACTACATATTTAAAATCGGGCGCTATAGAGTGGAAGGCGCTATTTAGAGTGGGTGCTATAGACATGGCTAACTGTATATTGTAAGTAATAATATATTTTTTCATATAAGAAATTTAATATATATATATTTTTATTATAAATAAGATTTTGTGCTTGATTTTGATTATCTTGAGGATTATGCTATGGTAATGCAGTCGTGGTTGAAATTAAATAATATTAATAAAAATAGTTATCAAAATAGCTTTAATTGAGCTTATGGAATATAGAAAACATAATTTGATAAAAGTACTGCCTGGCTTAAGGCGAAAGAATAAAAAAATTAAAAATCTATTTACATAATGTACAAAAGATTTGAGCCGGCCATCGGGAAACAACAACAATGAGTTTTTATAGGGGAAGCGTGACCTCTGGCGGTCGATTAAGCAGAGTATTTGAATCTATGGAATATAATTTCAAATAAAATAATATTTTAATATAACATATATATATATAAATAGATAATAGAGAAATAGAGAAAGAAAGCAAATAATGCAAATATCAACCCACATTGTTTATATACAAAACAAAATTGCTATTAAACTAAATGAAACAATTCCTAATAAACCACAAGATATTTTAACCATTTCATCCTTTATATATTCAAATGGCCATATTTTTTTATTTCGTTGAAAATATTTACATTTTAAAAGAAAATTCATTACAAATTCAAATTTCATTTAACTCCTTTCAACTATTTACGTTTAAATTATATAAACATTTTTTTTTCTTATTAAATTGAGAGAAGAAGAAGAAAAAAATCTCCACATAAGGGGATATGGAACTAATTTAAAATCTTCTTCATAAAAGAAAAAGTTAATTCATCTTTTTGTTGATGTTTTTTAAAAGAGTTGGATTCCTTGAAGAATCAATTAATTCAGGCTAGCAGTTGTTGTGGCCCAAATTGGGTCTTGTAGAGCTGTCAAAGATGAACGATGTGGCTATGGATTGAGTCTGACAGAAGCCTTTTGGTAATTGCTCGGTAGAACTGGCAACATTGCACGGGCCTAACTTGATTTAGAAGAGCTCTTCCTTCCTTTCTTCTATGATGGATGCCTGGGAAGTGGAGCTGACCATCCGTGCATGCCTCTGTTCTGTCGTCCATATATACATATGTACACCCATAGACAAACTTAAGAAAGCTTTACATTCTAGTATGTATATATGATCTATATGATCATATTTTATTATATGTTTGCTCATTTTTAAAAAGGGAGAATGTGTTCGAATTCACATGTATGGGAAATCAGCCTATATATAGAGAGACAAATAAGGAGTGTTTTATGGTGTAAATATGAAAACTCCTCACAGTTTTGTCTATGGGAGTATATAGAGTGAAATATGTTTTCTATATATTTGTGGGTCTATTTGCTGATTTGTCATATTAGATATTAATCCTCATATCTATAAAAATTATTTATGCTTATGAGGTGATACAGCAGCGTATTTACAATTAGAGAGGAGACAAAATGAATTAAATCTAGAAAAAAGAAGTGAGGACATATCGGTCATTAAAGTATTCGACTTCCAAGTCGTTCCGCCAAGAGATCAACACCACAGAGGTCCGTACGTCTCTTGACCTCACGGACAATACAGCAGCTACATTATGCACTCATGATATGTCAAACTTATCTATAAAAATGAAATTCAAAATCGATGTTTGTTATCGCATAGCGCAAAATCTACTGAATCAATCATTATGAAATTTCTCATGTAGGTAGCTGAAGATTTCGTTTAACATATAGGCTATTCAAAAAAACTAAAAAAGTTAATGTGCTTTTTTTTTAAATAAAAAAACCAACAAGCGATAGTTCCAGCCTTTTACCGCTTGAGCGCAGCACTGGTCGCGACGATAAATGAATTTGATTGGTTAATAATTAACACGTGGTTTGTTTACACGTTGAATGTTAGTTTGTTCACACGATGAATGTTTTTAAAAGGTAAGATTATCCAATCGCCGTAAAACTTTAGGAAGTTATTTACTATAATACTGAGAAGATTTCTGGTTTGAATTCGATTTGAAATAAATATTCTTTGCAATTTTATTTGCAAATTTTCTACTTTCACTCGCAAGCAGCGCCTCTCGTGGCATCTGGTGAAATTACATTTATAAATTGTAAAAATGCTAAAATGTGTTCCAAGTATAATAAATTTAATTAGAAATATGGTAATATAATATTCCAAAGACGCGTTGTAAAAAAACTTGGCATTTTAATATTAATATATATTTGAAGAAAATATTGTAACGTTTTTGTGTTAAATGTTAAAATGTTGTAATGTTAAAATATATTTTTACATTGTTAATTTAATTTGCTGTTGTTTTATAATAACGAAGATGCAAATTTAATTGTTGTTTTTATCGTTTGTTTATATAAAAAAATTACATTGTATGTGATGATGATAACAAAAATGAATTTTCAAATTAATATACATAATTCATTGAGAAAAAAAAGAAATAATTAATTATAAAATCCACAAACGCGTGACAATATCTTATTTAAAAATTAATAAATGTTTTTAAAAAAATATGTTCCAAAAATATATTCAAACGCATATAACAATATTTATATACGTTCATAAATCTATATATAGGTGGATTGGATGTTTTCTAGAATCGTTTTAGCAAATGTTCGTTAGGCAAACTTTTACTCGGGTAAAAACCGGGCGAAGCCGGGTACATTCGCTGAATACAGTTGTTTACAAATGTTCGTTTGTGGCAAGATACTATTCCTTCAACTTCAAATTACTGAGTGGACCAATTAATATTGATTTTATTCAACTTATCGAGTATTTTTAAAGGGACCTGGAAAATATTTCAAATTATCGAGAGTATAGACAAGTGTAGATTCAATATAGGGATTGGATGTTTGCTAGAATCGTTTTAACAAATGTTCGTTAGGCAAACCTTTACTAGGATAAAACCGGCGAAGCCGGGAACATATATACATATATATGTTTTTCCGCTATGCACGCCCTCAATATGTAACTAAACTCGCTGAAATTTGAACAGGACAGAGAGTTAAATCTGGAAAAGTTTTTTGTCGCGCTTTAACCAAGAAAAATTAAAATAACCAGGTACTGAGCAACAATATTTTTTTAGTCAGAAATGATGATGACAATATTGCTGTATCATGCTTGATTGACATAAACAAAATTCTTTAGGGGAATATTCACTAAAACAGACAACGGGCGAAGCCAGATAATAATTTTCAGTAGGCAGAAACAAAATTCTACCTGCGAAACATTCACTCGAGCAGAAGACACACACGAAGCCAGGTCATCTCAATATATAAAATATCGTTTCTCGGCCTTTTGGCTAAGATCGTGTAGTTTATCTCTAGATATTTTTATTTATATTTATCTTTTTAAAAATATATTCAGTAGAGAGAGTGGATATGTTTGCTCGAAAAATATATTTTATATATTATATAAATATATAATGCAACGAATATTATTATCATTATTATCATAATATTCTGTGTGTTCCGGAATATTATTATCAATAATAATTTTATCAATAATATTCGTTAGGCAAACTTTCACTCGGATAAAACCCTCGGTGAAACCGTCCACATCCGCTAGTATATACATATATATGGAAGTTTTATATATGTATTTATATTTTTGGCGTGTATTTCTGCTGCTCTGTCGTATTAGACAGTCGTTTATACATATATATTGATATATTTATGACGTAATAACGGGGGAAAGTTACATCAGCCAAAAGTGCCAAGACCTCGTAAAACTTGGATTGGGTTTCTTAAGCCTCGTTTCCTATTCGTACTAGGTCTAATTAGTTTCAGACTTAAATTTCTCCTTTAATTCTCCATTCCTTCTATCTATACAGTTACTATACTTTATTACAGTCTTAAGCGGTACAGATTGATGCCTCATAGTTTCAGTAAATAGCAAGTTATGTACATTCACGTGGTATTACATATTCGGATATATTGCCACGTGGAAAATTAGGGAAGACAAAAAACTTAGGATGACACAGCAATTTATTTAACGCAAGAACAAA